GGGAGATGGCAGAGGGTAAGAGATAGGGAATCAAGGATGGGGGGAAAAAAGCAAAACATACAGAAAACAAGAAATAGAAAACTATTTGCTGACAATAACATGTTTGTTGATGTGCTTGATTGAGACAATATACAGTGTACTCTGGATGGAAAATCTCATTTTGTATGCTGTAATGATGTACAGTGAGTGAATGCAAATAAATAATTTGAAATTAAAAAAAAAAAAAAAAGGAAAAAGAAAAAGGAAAAGGAGAAATTCCTGACTTTAAATCCTGTTAGGAGAGCCTATCCCCAGAATGTAAGAGCACAATATCTAGACTAGAAGAATCCAACTTCCCAGGCTCAAATCTCAGCTGTGTGATCTTCAAACATACTATAAAATTCTTCAAAGATTCAGCTACCCCAAATGAAAATAAGGATTCTATGCCCAACAGATAAGTCATTAGGATTCAATGAGCTGTTCAGGGAGCAACTGTGGTAAAAACTTTGTAAAGGAAAGATAAAACAAAAACTAAAATAAGATTTTCATGGATTTTTCTCTCAGCACTAATCAAGACTCAACCATAATAATTTATAACAGCTGTCAAGTTGCTATCAGACCACACCACAAAATGCCAAACCAGTAGTCACTCACCTAAATTCCCCCATCCTTTGTTTGTCTGCAGTTAGGGAAACACGTTTTGTTATTTAGCTATCATCAAAAGCAAAGAAATGGACCAGCACACCTACCTGGCAGTTCTCCCCGCTCTATGAATATATGTGTTGGCATCCTCTGGACAATCAAACTGAAGAACCCAGTTTACAGCAGGGAAATCTACAAAGAAGGAAAGTCAAGTTAAGAAATGAATTTCGAAGTCTGCCTTGCTACACTATTTTCATTTTATAATATTCCTTGCCAGGACTGTCTATCACATCAAACTGATATATATCATCTGTGAACTCCATTAAAAATAAAATTAATTGCATGAACCAAGAGATAATAAACATGTCTCTCCTTTAACAAAATGAACTAAAATTAATGACAGTGTTTGAATATGAAGATTATTTCATATCTGACACAAAAGAGACAGATTGCTTTGTGTCAGATGAATAATTAAATGCCCCGATATTTAATAACCAAGAACAGCCACTTTTCATAGAGTCCTAGTGAACTATAAAACTGATTTCTAAATTTAAACAAAAGTTTGCTTTCTTGCTATCCTCACCTCTACTTGAATTAAAAATGTCTTTATACATCCCTCCTATTGTTCTCTAGCAATAATTACTCCATATCTATTTCTGGCTACAAAAGTTTGAATTCATCATTTACACATTTCGTCGTGAGGATTTTAGAAAAAACAGGCTGAGCACAAAGAAAAAGAAGTATTTAAGATAAGGATACGCAGGACCAGCAGATGACGTAATGGTTACATCATCAGACTCCCTTGTAGTCCACCAAGGTTCGAGTCCCTGACTCGCAGCTTAAAACTCACACAAGGCACATGTGTACACGTGCCCAAGATCCCAAGAGTAAAATGGAGGAGAAGGGACTGTGGCATGGCCATTCCCCTTGGAGGGTGATTTTTTAACTTTTTCTGTCTCTCTGGTGAGCACGCAAGTTAGCGTAATGGCTATGTCACTGGACTCCCATGTAGTCAACCCTGGTTCGAGTCCCGGACGCGGTGGCTAAAACTCACACCAGGCACGTATGTGTGCGTGCCCAAGATCCCGAGAGGAGAATGGAGAAGGGATTGTGGCATGGCCATGCCCCCTGGGGGGTGATTTCTTGCTTTCTGTCTCTCTGTCTCTTTCTGGCGAGCACACATGGCCTATAGCAAAAACCTCTCCAAAAAAAAAAAAAGTTTAATATTAGTACAGGGAGAAAGAAGAAAGAAAAACAGGAGGCAGATATTTACAACAATTCTTTCTCAAGACTTGAAGTAACCAGGGAC